GTCACACCAGGCCTGGACATCTTCATTCTGTGTTGAGGCAAATGGTCTCTTTTCAATATTGCTTTTAGAATAGAGAAAAATAGTACCTATCATAAATAAGACAAGGGGCTTGGGGAGAATGTACCAAGTAGGAGTCTTGCTTCACAAGAATGAGGACCTAAGCTCAAATCCCCAGTACCCACATAAAATATCAGGCATGGCTTCAAGAACCCCAGTACTGTGGAGGGTGGAGAAAGGAGGACCTGGCCACCAGTGTAACCCCAGGTATAATAAGAGAGCCTGTGTCAAGAAAATAAGGCAAAAAATGATGTGACAGGACACCTGCCGTCTTCCTCTGGCCTCTACATGCAGGCCCTCAGTGTGATGTTAAGAAAAGAAAATAAGACAATGTCTCAGACAGGAAATGGATGCCATTCTGAGAATGCAATAGATGCAATAAGAGTTATTATTCAAAATTTTTACCGCTGAAGATAGGGAAACAGAATAGCAGACAAACAGCATGGCTGCTCACATTTCTGAGGGTTATTACATGTGTTTATCAAATCATACAGTTAATATGAGGTATTATTAACGTGTAGTGTATGCATCTTTAACCTGAGACAAGAAAACATGCTAAAAGTATATTGTTATGTAATTTCGCCACCGTACAAACATTAGATTTCACAAATGTAGTTGGCACTACAAAGTACAAATGTAAACTTTTTTATTTTTTATGATTTATTGTTATTTTATGTGCATTGGTGTTCTGCCTGCATGTGTGTCTGCGTGAGAGTGTCAGATCCCCTGGACCTGGAGTTACAGACAGTTTGAGCTGCATGTGGGTGCTGGGAATTGAACCAGGGTCCTCTGGAAGAGCAGCTGGTGCTGTTAGTCATGGAACCATCTCTGCAGCTCCCCACATGTGAGTTTATATATATGGTAAGTTTGGTATGGAATATCGCTCCTAGAGTCATGATGAACAAAACAAACAGGATATTCAGTCAAGCACAAGAGAGACCAAGAGATACTGTAGCTATGAGATATATGAGGTTGCCATCAGCAAAACGCAATATGGCATTTTACAGTAAGCTTTTAAAAAATATAAGCAGACATATTACACTCTAAAATAGCAAGCAACATAGATGGTGCTAGAAATACAGCTCAGTGGTTTTCACTTAGCATTCATGAGTCTTTGGGTTCAATCCTTATCACCAATGGATTGTTAAACAGGTAAGCAGGCAAATAAATAGTGTGGTACATGCACAGCTTTCTCTTACTATTTAGTATATTAGTGAGTATCACGCACTATACACAGCTGCACATGCTTCACCTTTATGCAGCTGGCAACACAGGCTTGTCTCCATCAGCACAGCTACAAACACAGGAGACAGACTTCTCTAAGTTTCTATCCCCGTATTTCTACTTATACTTTTTAAATACATTTTTATTTAAATTAAAAAACCTTATGTTTACATACCAATCCCAGTTTTCTCTCCCTCCCTACCTCCCATGCCCTCCCCACCAACCCCCCATCTACTCCCCAGGGAAGGTGAGGCCTTCCATGGTGGATCATCAAAATCTGCCAAGTCATTTGGGGCAGGGTCTAGGTCCTCCCCCATGTGTCTAGGCTGAGAGAGTATCCCTCCATGGAGAATGGGCTTTGGGATACATACTGGTTCCACTGCCAGAGGCTCCATAGACTGCCCAGGCCTCCCAACTGACACCCACATTCAGGGGGCCTGGTTCAATCCTATACCGGTTCCCCAGCTGTCAGTCTGGGGTCCATGAGTTCCTATTTGCTCAAGTCAGCTGTCTCTGTGGGTTTCCCCAGCATGATCTTGACCCCTTTTGCTCATCACTCCTCCCTCTCTACACCTGGATTCCAGGAGTTTGTCTCAGTGCTTAGCTGAGGATGTCTATTTCTACTTCCATAAGCTACTGGATGAAGGCTCTAGGGTGGCATATAAGGTTGTCCTCAATCTCACTACAGGGGAAGGGCATTTAAGGCAGCCTCTCCACTATTGCTTAGATTCTTAGTTGGAGTCATCCTTGTGGGTCCCTGGACATTTCCCTAGTGCCATTATAGGCTTAAAGATAAATCTATTTATACTTTTCTACCCTCTTCTCTGTGGTATAGGTTTGTCCATATCTCAGCCAATGAACTTCACCAGGCACTATTTTCCCTCTAGATTCAAATGCCTTTCACAAATGTTTGAGATGCACAAGTGAACCAATAAATCAAAAACTATAAAATCTCAAGGGGAACAAAACCAAACAAGCTAAATTAAGATCAACTAGTCTTCAGCTAAATCAGCCACCATCATTAAAGGAATGGGGACAGTTAAACGTTGAGTTATATAACCAAAAGTGAGTTTGAAGACACTTGGAAGGTTTTAAATTTGAGGAATCATAATCAGGGTATAAGTTACAGTAAGATATTCAAGTCAGTGCAGTCTAACTATAGCAAAAATAAAACCAATGGATTTATGTAGTTATCTACCCAGTGGTTTTACAGCATACCAAAACACTGTCAGCCAGTAGCATAAAAAATGACAGTTCTGGCAGCTTGAAGACAGTGGTAGGCCTTCCTTTGATGAAACAGAGAGGAATTCCTTCTACATCCAGACTCCTGTGCCTCTCTAGCTTTTTGTTCTTTCCTAATTGGCATCTACATCATGTAATTCTAATTGGTTTTAATAATAAAAACTCAGAGTCAGATATTGGAGTTAAAGCTGAAGAGCAGAGAAGCAAAGCGGCCAGTCACTAAAGAGTTCTTACCTCTGCCAATGCTCACACTGAAAGGGCGAGCCTGTTCTCAGAATACATTTCCAGACTGCGCTGCCCTCCTGTCTCCTGCTGATTTATATTCCTCCCTAGTGCTAGGATTAAAGGCATGGAATCTCAGGTGCTGGGATCACCTTTGTGTGAGCTCTTTCGCTTTTAGACTGGATCATTTTTATGAACTCAGGCTGGCCTTGAATTAAAAGAGATCTGTCTGCCTCTGTCTCCCGAATGCTGAGATTAAAGGTGTATGCTATCACTGCCTGGCCTCTATGGAAAGCTAGTGTGACCAGCTTTGCACTCTGATCTTCAAACAAGCTTTATTAGATCATAAACAAAATATCACCACAGATATCCATAGAATCAAGTTCAGCAATTGTTTCTCTGAGGAGATAAGTGTGTGTGTGTGTGTGTGTGTGTGTGTGTGTGTGTGCTCTCTAACATGAATAATACTGGTATCATAAGTATTTATTGTGCATTTTCTGTGAGCTGGCCAAAAAAACCTGCTTTCTGTGCATTATTCCAATTAATTCTGTGGCAACAATCATGCCAGTTAATTGTCACTTGGTTGTGTGATGCATACCAAGGCAGACTCGTCACATGTGAACTGGTTTCTTCAGTGAGTTCTCACAATAATCCTATGATATATAAAATTATCATCCCCTCATTTGGGAGGCAAAAGTAATTCTACATGAGATTATAGAGCACCAAGGTACTAAATGGTAGAGCTCTGGCTAGACTTAATTCAAAGTCTCACCCCAATGCCTTTTTTGTAATTAGGATCTCCTGAGTTGTTTCCATGTGCTGAGAGAGCCCAGACATCTTTGTTATGGTCAATCCAGATGTGATGATGTCTGTAATACCTTTGTTCTTTTCCCTTGGCTTTTGGGCTGTAACTAGTTGGCACTCTTTCAAAAACAGAGTTTTAAATTAAAACTCAGTACTTTATAGCCTGAGGGAACTTGTTGTTAAATCCATTTTTTAAGCATTTACAGATTACCACAAAGACAAGTAGGAATGACTAGATCGTGCAAGATTTTTTTTACAATTACCTAAATATTGAACTGTAAGAAACAATAGAGGACCTAAGTGAAAAGTATGTGATTATCTCTCTTTAGTTATTAGATTTTCCTAGTCTTCCTCTTTGTCAAATGATCATCTTTTTTTACTATATGATCTTCTAAATATATACAATATGTTGTCAATGTTATTATATATAAAATTAAGTGAAAATGCATATAAACCTAATAAATTACGGAAATAAGGAGGTTATATGGGATAAACAGAAAAAGTTGATCTATATAAAAAAGAATGAGGGACTGGAGAGATAACTCAGTGGTTAAGGGCACTGACTGTTCTTCCTGAGTTCAATTCTCAGTAACCACATGGTGGCTCACAACCATCTCTAGTGGGGATAGAGCACTCATACATAAAATAAATCAATCTTTAAAAAAGCAAGAATGAATATATCTGACTCAGGGCTGCCATGCATTAATGAGATATGTTTAATGTAAACCTGGTTAGAAGACAGTAGGGAATTGTTCGGGAGTTTATCATGTGATATTTTAGGACTATCAGTTAACCAAATCATGACAGTGAAAAGAAAGTCTGACAATCCAATTAAAATTTAGTAATCCCTAGGAACTGGCTCACATCTAATTCCAGCAGAGGCAGGTGGATTTCTGAGTTTGGAGCCTGGTTTACATAGTGAGTTCCAGGACAGCCAGAGCTACATAGAGATGATGTCTCAAAAACAAACAAACAATTTACTAAGCCCTGTACTAATAGATGAATGAATAAAAGTAAGACATGTTTTCCCACAAGTTCAGGAGAGGCCAGGGCAGACAGAAAAGTCAGGAGGATCTGGTACACAGTAAAGGCACAAAGAAATGTGCTAAGTGACCCAAGAGTTGTCTGTCAATGGCAATCAGAATACAGAACAATTACAGCTTGCAAAATCACAGGTGATGATGGATGTAACCATCATGAATGTGTTACCAAGAATGTAACAGTTCAAGCTAGTCCAGGAGAGATTAAGTCTAGTAGAGTAACCTAGGCTGAGATTGTGGCTAGGGTAACTGACATAATCAGATGGGAGTGCTGTGAGATTGTAGCCAGTGTATCTCCACTAACGGTCTCCCCCTCCCCGTAATCATTTTACTAACTCTCTATTGACACTTGAATGGTGTACAAATTTTTCAGTTGTTCTAAGGTCATGGAAAAAAGACACAGACACAAAATGCATTTCCAGTAACCATGTTCCATAAATTAAACCCAGTTGAAGGTTTTTTTTTTAATGACAGCTTCCTCTAGCAGGTCCTCAGCAAATCACATTTTTTTTCTGCATTTAAGAATCTAAATCAGGGAGCTCTGCTCCCTCAAGCAACAACCACATTGACCCTCTTAGCTAGTATTAGGTAACATGTGTAAATGATTATGTCATTAAGGGCAAGACAGGACATTAAATGTGGAAACAGGAAGATTTACAACTAAAGCCAATAAGGGAAAGATTACAAGCTCCTGTTTTCATTTTTTAATGAAATGTCTTTTTTATGAGAAGTTTTTTTTTTTTAACAGATTCCATGTTCTCTTAAGGGTCATGAACATCCCTCTTGAAAACCAATCTTCATCTCTTGGGCCAAGAAGAGAACGTGAGAAAAGTGTGGTTTATGTCCACAAAGATACATTTTCAGGGGCAAAGTCAGTCTTAGCCTCAAATGACCTGTTGAAAGATTTAACTAGAGAAAGCAATTAAAAAGCAGACTGGAGAGAAGGCCGTTCAATGAAATATCTAAATGTAAAGAAGTGCAGATTTTCACATAGACACTCAAATCTCCACAGAGCACCGATTTAAGTCGTGGAGAAAGTCACTCCTGTGGAAAGTGACTGTTTCTTTAAGGACCACACCAGAGAATGGAAGTCAAGAGTGAGTCGAAACTGGACACGAGCTGCTCCAATGAGATTCTGAGACTCTGGCTGGGAGAAGATATCCCGGGACCGACTGAAACATCTGTTGAGAAGAGGAAAGAAAAGAGAGGACAGTTGGGCCAGGGAATGCTTAAAGAGAAGGTACACTTGAACGAATCTGCTTTTAATCTTAAAGTAAGAGAATGGCAGAATATCTTTAAACAGTTACACACACACACACACACACACACACACACACACACACAACGCATTCTGATCGTATTCACATCCCATCACCTCCTCTTTTGAACCCCTTATTCCGAACTGGGCCCTTTCATGTCTTTTTTGTGACCCACTGAGTTTAATTAGGGTTGCCAGAGTGAGCACGAGTGATGGGCACGTAAGGCTTTAAGTACAAAGACGTAATCAAACTGACTCAGACGCTGGTGGATGTTGGCAGGTTCCAATGGCAGGGCAATGCCAAAATCGTGCTCCCACCCCTTGTCCCCCAGTAGGAGAGGATTATTTTAAAATAAGTCTCTCTGTCTAAGAGATGGGGGTGTAGTTGGTGCTTTAGCTCACTGGTGACCTTGTGGGTCTCAGCATGTAGGTTCGGTCTCCACTTCCATCCTGGGAGGTGGGGCGGGCGTCTCACTTGACTTGCAATCCAGGACCATCCGTTAGTGTTGTTGGTTCTGCAACAAAAATCCACTTAGGTGTATTCTTCCTCTGTTCTCCAAACCAGCCCCCACCCCACCCCCCCGCCCGCCTCTCCGGTTTCTGCATCCAGACAAGCTAAGCTGGCTTCACCTCATCTCACTACACCAACACATTCTACTTCGAAGGGATAAAACGTCGACGTGGACAACCGACGTAGCTTGCGGGGCGATGGCTGTCAACCGCGCCGCTGTTCCTATCGCCCCAAGCGCGCATTTACGGGTGCAGCACACGGGGTCTTCTCCCGCCTCACCTTCACGAGGCTGCCACCGGGTCCGCTCGTACCCAGCGTCCCTCTTGGCGCCGGGGGAAGCCGAGGTTCCCCGACCGTCGACGGAACTTTGGGTAGCGCGGGCCACAGGCGCGGGTGCGCAGACGAACGAGGGCAAGCTCGGGGCGCCGCGAGCAAGCGCGTCCCCCCCGCCCCGCTCCGGCCCCGGCCCCCGTGCCGCAGGTGGAGGGCTCCAGCCTCCGCCCCCTCCCGCCACCGACCGCCACCGACCGCCACCGCCCGCCTAGCGGATAGCCCAGAGGGGTTCGAGCCCGGCGCGACGCTGGAGACGCTCCCCACCCCGGGCGGCTCCGCGCTCGACGCCCTCTCCCCTCCCCTCCCGTCCCCGGGGCCGCCAGACCCTCCGCGGCGCGCGGCGGGGGAAACTACAGCTCCCGGCAGGCCCCGCGCGCCCCCGCCCGCCCGCCCGCCCGCGCGCGCCCCGGCCCCCCGCCCTCCGGCCTGGAGACGAGACGGGACGGGAGGGCGGGCGGACGGGACCGTGCAGAGGTCCGTGGAGCCGCGCTGAGCTCCCGCTCCGGGACGGGGACGCGGATGCTGGCGCTGGCGCGCGCGGACTTTCTCCACAGCGACCGGGCCCGCCTCTGTAAGTAGCCGCCGCCGCCGCCGGAGGGAGCGCGGAGCAGACACCGAAAAAAGTTCGCGCCGCCGCCGCCGCCGCTTTGTTCTCCCCACCCGTCGGTCGGGCTGAGGTGGCGCGGCCCCTCCCCCACTGCACGCGGCGGCGGCGGCGGCGGGGCTCGGACCCGGGCTGGGCGGCGGCCGCGGCTGGGCGGGAAGTCGGGGCGGCGCTCGGCGGGCGGGCGGGCGGCCGGCCGGGGGCGCCGGCGCGGCCAAGTTCCGCGGTCCCCGCCGAGGCCAAGTTGGGATCGCGCGGCCGCGGGACCCACCGCGCCCTGCCTGCCCCTCGGGGAGGGGAGGACCCGCCGCGCCCCAGCCCCGCAAACTTGTTGTGCAGCCTCCAGCGCCGCCGCGCCGCCCCGGAGGCTTCCCGCTTCTCGGCGGCACTTTCCGTGGTCCTGGGGGGCTGGCCGGGGCGAGTATCCGGGGTGTGGAGGACGGTGACCCCAGTTTCCTGGCTGCCGTTATGCTTGCCGGTGGCAGCCTGGCTCCGGGACGTCCCCGTCCCCCTCCCCCGGGGGAGCTTTGCCCTAAAGGTGAAGCACCCGCGAGTGTGGGGCGATCGAAAAACATGTATGTATAGACACAAGACTCGATTGCCTGTCGGACGTTTTATTTCACTTCGTCGAAATCAGAAGTACAGGCCCGTGCTGTCTGTAGGCACGGCTATAGGACAGGCGACCTGCGGACTTTTCCGTACACAGATTGATGGCGTGGACGTAACTGTCCCTTCAACCACGCCCGTCCCCACAGGAAATAAGACTATCGGTGTCATCTGTGATTAAAGAGGATAAGTTACCACTCCAAGTACTACTTGTAGGATAGGCCCTTTAAAACCTGTAGGCACGAATGAAACAAAAACTTTAAAATGTCCTCATCTGCATCCTGTAGTTATACTAAAAAAACAAAAAACAAAAAAAAAACAAAAAAACTTTTACTTTATACCTATTGTTGCAGTTTTAACAAGTTTGACTTTGTTCAGCCCACGCTTAAATGTTTAAAAATGCCAAGAGGGCAAACAAGCCTTCAGATTTGCTTCAAGAAGGCTTCCGTGTAGTTCCCAGACTCAGATCTTAGTAAGATTTCCTCTGGATAGGAACACTTTCTCCCCCAGACATAATCTGGAGTGAGATAAAATAGTTTAGCCAGTAAGTTGTTGCAAGTTTTTGTAAAAGTATTATTTTCAAACGTCTCACAGGAAAAAAAAATCACTGTAGGTTTTGCTTCATAGAATAATATTGGGCCTGAGAGCATGAGTTTGGAGTCCTGTTTGATAATCCAGGGCAGCTCACACTTGAGGAGTGCTAAAATTAAAAGAATTTTTTCTTAAATGTGTTTGACAGTTTCATACATCTGATCACACCCCACCCCACTCTCTCCGATACCCTCCTGTCCCCTCACCAGCCCCTTAAAGTGATGAACATTTAATCTTGCACATTTTCTAAGCTGTTTTATCGGATGGCCTGTTTAAAATAGATATTTCTTTCTGTTTGTGTGCTGTTTCTCATCTAAACACTGCCACACACGCCGAAAACTACAGTGTTAATTTTTTTTAATTGGATGAGTTGAAAACACCCCGTACATAGTTATTGAAGCATGTTTTTCAGAGAAGGGACCCTTTCTCATGTTTCAACAAAAGTCTTAAGTTAGGAAGAAAATACTAACCATAGTGGAATTAATTGCTTGTTTTTAAAAGAAACTTGTTCAGAACTTGATATGTGATAATAACTACTTATTATAATTCGGTTAGGCACAGAATTGCCTTTAACAGTCACATCTCTTCTTTGAGTGTCCCATTATGTAACTCAGACTGAATTTGCCTCTGTGGAGTGGTCATTTTAAAGGGAGAAACTTTAAAGGGATGCGATACTTAAGAAATGTTGTAGTTTCACTCACTGTTAGTAAGTTTTCTCCGCTTGTGTGGCTATGGCACAGTGGCCATGTGTGTGACGAGCTCACTGGCTGCTGGCCAATCAGATTTCTTAGGCAGTGCTGCTGCGAAGATGAAGACGTAGCAAGCTTATCATAGCTTCGTACTGCATTGCCAGACCGGTGCTCTCAAATCTGGATGTGCTTCCTAGTGCCTGCGCAGGGAAGCGGCCTCGGGTGCCCTTTCCGTGTTCTCCCCGACAGTGGAAAGACCGGGATTCAGGTGCCTCTGGCACAGATGGGCAGACTTGTAGAGGAAACAATGTAGCGGAGCTCCGAGCTCTTAGGAAGACGGTACTATATTAATGGGAGAGAATAGTCATGTTTCTGAAATGCTCACTCAGATGTAGAGACTGCCACAGAACGGGATATATTTCTTAAACAATTTAATTAGCTTTATTTTATGTGCAGTGGTGTGAAGGTATCAGATCCCCTGGAACTGGAATTACAGACAGGTGTGAGCTGCCAGGTGGACGTTGGGAATTGAACCCTGGTCCTCCGGAAGAACAGCCAGTGCTCCTAACCTCTGAGCCATATCTCCAACCCCAAATTATATATATACACTTTTTATTATTTTAGGTTATGTATTTATATATTTATTTTAGAAGCACTCATTTACATATTTCCCTCACCCTCCCACCCTCCCATGCTTCCACCCACCCCTCAACCTACCCTCCACCACTCCCCAGGGATAGTGAGGCCCTCCCTGGGGGGGACCATCAGAGTCCATTACATCATTTGGGGGAGGGTCCAGGCCCTCCTTCCCATATCCATAGGGAATGGGCTCCCAAAGTCCCTTTGTGGTCTAGGGATAAGCACTGGCTCCACTGTTGGAGGTCCCTTAGACTGCCCTGGCTCCCAGCTGGCACCCGCACTCAGAGGGCTCAGTTCGGTCCAATGCTGGTTCCCCAGCTTTATGACTAGGGTCTCCTTGCTGTCATTGGTCAGGCAAAGTCAGATATTTGTTGAGGTAAAACATGGATATTGACTCCAGTGGACTGGTCAGTTACGTCACTGGTAAAGTTCACACGCTTTTAGCATGCTAAAGCAGTGCATATCATCCACGTGTGCATATCTGCGTGAGGGCCGGGGGTGAAACCTTGCACCATATTAGCAATCCTCGCACACAAAGCTAGGTTAAACCTGGGCAACGCTTTGCCGGTGGGAGTCAGGTGAATAGGCTATTACAAAGGAAAATCATCTCTTCCTCTTTGCGTTAGCATTTGCTGGGTGCAAAAAGAATTCTGGGTGTCTTGAATCCTAAGAGCTTCTCTTTGAAGTATTTCATTTGCCATGTGTTCTGGAATCCTCTTGTTTTCCTTGGTCTTTAGAGATCGTCCCGGAGACCCCAGCTGAAATTAAGTCTCGCCAGCATAGACTCCGTTGTATCTCATAGTTTGTAATTACCTAGCTACTTATGCAAATGTGTGCTTACTGTCTGTGGGTTCCAGAGAGAGCAGTGGCCGTGTCTCATTCTGCTGTTGCTCTGTAACCTCAGTGTCTCTTGTAGCTGTCCGGCAAATACCAGGTGTTCTGTAAGGGTATGGTGAATGAAACTCCTGCTTTTCGAGCTCCTAGTTAAAGACTTGGTTAAGATTGGAACATACCGCATTGTGATGAATTGACTGAGGGGGAAGGAAGGTTGATCTGCTTGTGACGTTACCATGAAGTGTCATTCAGCCTAGCCTCTGGGGTCTTTCTTTTCCCTTTCCTATAATGATCGGGCATACTGAGCTCAAAATACCTTTAAAAGCCTATCTTTTGATTCTACTTGCTGGTGACAGAATTTCTAAGTTCATTTGAATGAGATATGTGACAACTCTCTAAAAGAACGTTTGAAGAATGCCAACTAAACTGTTATAAATTCTTGACAACTAGAATTTAGAGGCTCTCATAGATGTTAGAAACAACATCTAATTAATACACAGCTTATAAATTAACAAGATGTACTATTTGTTAACTTATAAGCCCTATTTTCTGTTTGAAACTAATACAGAAATATTAAACAATGTGACCAAATATGGTATAAATTCGAATTGTTAGATTTCTTACAGATCAAATCAAGATTTCATAAACAAGGAGAGAGAAAACAGATGGGATGAGTGGGTGGAAGCTGTTAAGACAGGTTCTTATATTTGTATCCATGCTGAAACTTTTTTAAAAAATCACTTTTATACAAAATTATATTTAGTTTATTAGGAATTCATGTCACTCTCGTAAATTAGTCAAGTGTTTTATTAGGCTGTTTTCTGTTAAGCAGTTAATATCAAGTGGTATAATAAAATGTAAATGTAGTAGGAAGATGTCTTTTATCTAATTGCTATAAAACTTCTGAATGGTTTGAGTAGCACACTAAGGCAGGTGCTATCAGTAATTCAGGTGCAGGTGTCAATCCTTATGGCCAGGTGCCAGCAAATGGTGCTGTAATTTTCCTTGTACTTCTCTTAGTCAGGCCGAATGAAACCAACTCACCTTTAACATTCTCAGCTACTTGAGGACCACTCATTCTGTTTGGTTTTGTTAAGCGTGTGTTTGTCACAGGCCACCCTCTTCACTGTTACCTGGATGTGTGCAACTTTTTCTTCCAAAAATCTGAGAATTTGTTAACTCTAAACCTACGGATTATAGAATGAGCATAATAGCAGGGATAGACTGTGGAGTGTGACGTTAATAGATGACTTTCCAGGGCTCAGGGGGTTGACGTTTGCGTTGGTTCTTTCAGTCAGCCCGTTATATTAACAACTTATGTGGAGTCCTGGAAGCATAGCCCACCCTCGTGCATGGCTTCTAAGTCAGCACTTTCCATCCTTACGTTGCACATTTAACTTTGAGTTTATCTCTGTTAAGTTTCACTTTAATTTTATTCTGTCTTCTCAGTTTTGTTCAACCTCAAGATTATGCCTTTGTCCTTGCCATGTCACATCTAATGAAAATACAGGGCTAAGAGTGGTTTGGGGACATTCCCTAAAGACTTCCTTGACATACAGCAAATTTCCTTGCTACCCAACTGGAACTCACATGGCATGTTTACAAAGATAGTGGGGAAAACGTTTTAAATACTACTTTCGTGAGAGTGTGGTAGCCCCGAGCAAGTCTTTAGCCTCTGAACTTTGGCTTCCTCCACTCTAAAATGGGTGGTTATGAGGATTAAGCAGGTAATAGAGGTGTCTGGACCAGCGTCTGTCAGTGAAGGCTGGGTCTTACCTCTTCCACCTGAGAATCTAGTGTCGTTCTTCATGAAGTTCTTAGTGTAATGGACTTGGCATTTCTTACTCTGAATTTACGTTGACATGTAATCATTATTCTATTCTCTGGTTATTCACAAATCATTTGAATAATAGTCTTCTCAGATCTGGTTAAGGATTTTTTAAAATGATTTATTTATTTTTATTTTATGTACGTTGGTGCTTCTGCCTGTATGTATTTCTGCGTGAGGGTGTAAAATCACTTAGAACTGGATTACAGACAGCTGTGAGCTGCCATTCAGTTGCTGGGAATTGAACCCAGGACCCTCTGGAAGATCAGCCAGGGCTCTTTAACTGCTGAGCCATGTCTCCAGGCCCTGGCTAGAGGGCTTTTTGTTTGTTTGTTTGAAGTGTCTTTGGTAATTTCTGATTGTGCTTATCTGCTTTTCTGTGCTCAACACTTGAAGCAGCTCTCCCCATCCCAGTGCATGGCTCCGTCTCTTGCCCTGGGCTCCTTCTCCATCCCACTCACGGTTAAACTGGCTCACTGCTTTGGCTGTGTGGGATGAGCTGCAACTTGACTCAGAGATTTGCACTCAGGTTAAGTTTTAGAATCTCAGCACTCAAGAGGTGGAGATAGAAAGATTGTAAGTTTGAAACCATCCTGAGCTACATAGTGAGATTGAAAAGAAAAGGCATTATTTAAAAAAAAAAAAAGTCATGTAATTCTCTTCTGTTGACAAAGTTCAAGTTTCAGTTCTCTGCTTAGGCTTGAAAACTGTTGGGAGAAGATAAGCAAGACACAAGTTGAGCAATTCTTTCTGTGTAATCTCTCACCCGTAGCTACATCCTCTCTGAACAGTGATTCTCAGTTCCTTGTTATCTTTAAGAAGCAGTTGCTATTGTGGAGACAGTGCTGGTGACAGAGCATGAGACTTGGGTTCTAATCCCCACTCTGCTTGTTCATAGCCGTGTGATCCTGGGCAGACTGCATTATCACCTTGTGCTTCGGTCTTCTCGTCAGCAAAATTGCTATTTCCCTGGTAATTTCAAAAAGTATCATGGGACACATTAGTGAGACATTTCTATCAAGTGCTATAAATATGAGATTGAATTCCAGCCATTTGCCTAAATGCTATCAATGCCCGTATCTTTAGGTTATTTTTAAACTCATTTTATTCTGAATTTTCTCATTTGTATCCCTTTATCTGTATAACCGTGTTCTTCCGTCGTTCGCTTTAATGTAGCTCCATATACTGGTTTCCGTAGGGTCGCTACACACACTTTGGATGCTTTGGTTTTTCATCACTGAAATTGTTTATGGCTACAAAGAATTTAAAAGGGCTCACCTCTTGTATGTGAACCATTTCTTTCAGCCATGAGGGGGCATGCCTTTTTCTTTCCTCTCCTATTTTATAAACTGTGTTTTCTGTAAGACCGTGATGCGTTGTTTTACTATGCATGCTGTTCTTTTTCCTAATGTGAGAAATCCCTTACTGGTGAGTTCACTTTCTCCTGTGTTTCATAGTTTATCAGCTGTCTCACAGTTCCTCGTTGTCTCTGGTATATCCTCTGTGCCCTTTCGCTTCCTTAGGCTTCTGGAAGGTATTTATTTAGCAACACAGCGACCCGGGAGTCATATTTTGACAGAATTTGATTCTTTTGGAGAGGCGGGAGTACTGGGGATTGAACCTGGGGCCTTGTATCTGTTCTCACTCAACTCTTAGCATATAAAATGTGAGAGACTGCTTTAGCTTTCCTACATTGGGAAATTGTTTTGTATCTTTACTATGCTAGGATCTCGAGCATTTTATGTCTGTGATGTTTGTTTTACTTTTCCTGTTCTGCTCCTTCTGTCTTTCTGTTTCTTATCGTAATTGAATTGTGTGGTTGTGAAATAAGAGTGCTTGATCTTCATAAATTTAAAATACAATAAATTACAGCCAAGTGCAGTAATATGTATCTTGCTCTCAACTGTTCAGGGGTCTGAGGCAGAAGGAGCTCTAGAGCCCAGGAGTTTAAGGCTAGTCTGGGCAACAGAGTGAGTGAAATCCTATCTCCCAAAAAGAAGGCCAACATATTACTTAGCCCCGTCCCCCACCTTCAGGGCTACAGAGTTAGTGGTGAGGGACATGAGTATATTTTAAGTGGGGATCCCTCTCTAAAATTAATGCCTGCAGTTAAAAAAAAAGACCGTGGTAACTTAAGTAAAAATGATCAACCATTAGGATGCATTCATGAATTGTAAATGTACCAGAGATTATCACTAAAAAAAAATAGGGATTCTTACATTTTAAACTGATGGAAATGAATATAAAACATTGAAACCTTTTTACATTTTTCTTTTAGGCTGACAGCATTTCAAAAGACACCAGCTTTTCTCCGTGGACCCATTCATCAAAAGAAGTATGCTTGTACTATTTTTAAAAGCTTTTTACTTCATCAGAGGGAAGTTCACTCCCCAAGATGGAAATGAACACGTATGAGAGAGTGATCTAAGGTGTGACCGTTAGGTGTCCCATCAAGCATCGAAGGAATAGATTATCTGAAACACACCTTTCAGTCAGGAAGACTTCATCTTGACAAAAAGCGACTGTATTCAATTCTTATTTTCTGAAATGAAAACGGAAAGACAGGAACAGATTTAAATTAAGTGAAGATGTTTCTTTTGTCATCTGGATCAGTTCTATTCTTGCGATGATAACGGTGATGTCAGGTGAATTGCAGGTCTGGGCGTGGTCCTAGAGACAGAATTCTTAATGGGACTGATGGTGACAGCAGCAGGGCCTTTTGTGCATTCAGCCCGCAGTGACAGGGTTTGTCGTCACCGGCATGAGTGCCTCAGCCAAGGAAATAGAGCGGCTTTCGTCTCAATCAGAAGCGCGCTCACTTTTTTACTGCTGTTATTCTGAAAACTTCTTCCAAACCGTTTGAAAAGCATCGGTGACTGTTTTTATAGATTAAAGAAAGGCAGATGTCTGCAAATAATTCCCCTCCATCAGCCCAGAAGTCCGTGTTACCTGCAACTGTCTCTGCTCTGCTTCCGACCCCTTCTCCGTGTTCAAGCCCCAAGACAGGACTGTCAGCTCGACTTTCCAATGGCTGCTGTGGTGCCCCATCACTCACAAACTCTAGAGGCTCAGTGCACACCGTTTCGTTTCTACTTCAGATTGGCCTCACACGAGAAAGCGTTACCATCGAAGCCCAGGAGCTATCCCTGTCCGCTGTCAAAGACCTCGTGTGCTCCATTGTTTATCAGAAGGTACTGTGCAAGCTATTTATATCAATAGATTTTTCCTAATTAGCATTGTTTCTCACACATCTCTATAATTTATGCACAAAACAATGAACTGACACATTTGGACTCCTCAGTTACCAGTGTCCTGATTATGAGCATTTTATTCAATGCACTGATAGACTATGAGCCCAAAAGTCTGAAATTTTAGTTAATGGGAACCTGTATCCCATTTTGAAATATCATTTACTCCAAAATAGTGTCATTTTATAGTCAAGGAGTTATATGATTCTTCATTTGATTTCAGAGACAAAGGTCAGGAGGTAGAAGGCGTAAGGCATTGAGGTTCTTACTAGGAAGGCGGGCATCAGAACTCTAAATCCAGTGCCCACCTGTGCCGTGGGTGTCCCGGTGTCCTGTGTTTTGCCCTCTTACGCCCTTGCCTTCTCTTTGGGTGCTGATAACGTCTCGGAGGAAACTCGGAGTCTACCTAGACTTCCATTTAGTATGGAAGCGCACTCTCTCTCTCTTCCTCTTCAACAGGCAAATCAATTCTTAATATATATGACAGGTTATTCAAGATGATGGTTTATCATTTAATGATAATGACTCCTGGCTCAGTGGATTAGTATGTTTTCTACTTAGGAATTAATTATATGGGTTATATTAGTTGGCTTTTGTTTTATTTTCAGTGGGCAACTTGCTTCAAACAAACTTGTAGAGACTTTGTATGGCACAGTGTGTAAAATGATTGTTTCAGAGCTCCACAACCACTTAAAAAGCTAGGCTCAGCAGTGTGCACCTGAAATCGCAGACCAGAGAGGTGGGGACAGACCAGCCATGAGAGTGAAATCAGTGGGCTCCAGGTTCAGTGAGACACCCTGTCTCTATAAGGTGAAGGGCAAATGGGGAAGACACGCAATCCAACCCCTGGCCTACGTATAAGCATAGACATGCATATACACAAATGTGTGCACGCAGAAACATACAGTCTCTCAGTGAGATTGATAGCTTTGTATTTCAGCTTTTCATCTTTCGTTTTACTTCTTTGTTATATTTGGGTTGTCACTAGCTTCTAATTTACAAGTAGTTAGCAGCCCAAACATGTTAGTGCTGGTAGCCTATGGTCTTGTGTTTTAACAGGAACTTACTGGTGTAAATATGGCCTAAAGTAAAAGTGACTTTAGACCTGCAGAGTTGTCGATTTGTTTCCTTGTGTGTTTACTTACTGTGAAGTATTTAACTTTGAGATGGGGGATTACTGTTGCCCAGGCTGGTCTTTGTACTCTTTGGTCCTCTGCCTCAGTCCTCCTTAGCTGGGATTGCAGACATAGACCACCTTGCCCAGAGCTTCCTTTCAGGGTCTTTGGTTGTATGTCCCTTTTGTTATATACTGCATACGTTTTTCACAAATACTTTTGCAGCTGTTTTGTAACGTTTTCAACTTAAAGGTAATGTTTAAGTCTAACTTCTTTTGAAGCATAAGATTTATAACCCATGTTTTGGTGAAATCTATTATTCCTTTTCAACATTTAGAATTTTCACTTTTTTTAATTTATAAAGATATATGGACTCATATCACTTACCATGTATAGCATATTAAAAGATGGATACATTGTGTAATGACTAAGTGAGCTAGTTAACTTGATGCATATCTAGTCACTTAGATACTTGGGTGGACTCGTTTACTCCTCACATTTAATCACAGGCATACTGATTCTGTATATAGTATTGTTGTAGAATGAACTCTATCATGTATTTACAAGACAGCTTCAGGCAAGTGATTTTACTTGTTTAAATAAGTTTCCAGATCAGCCAGAGCCCTGAGTTGGGGTGGTTCCCAGTCTCTTTTACAGCTTTGAGATTTGGGTCTTCTCTGCAGGAGACAGAGCAATGAGAACAGAGTCTTGAGTGGTAGATGAGAAATCTTCAGGCACCAGTTTAGATCCTGGGGTTTCCTTCATGGATCCCGGTCTCATTTTAGATCTTAAAGAGCTACAGCAGCATTTCTTATCTCCTGTCTTGTCTTAGAGAACTTGCTGTCTGGCCATCCGTCTAGTTTGCTGCGCATGTACGGTTTCAGGTCCTGAAATAACTGCTTGAGTGACACTTGAGTGATTACCCTGAGCCTCTAAAGAAAGATGGCGCTTCCTTATGGTCGTGTAGCCTGCTGCTCTTGTGGGACTCCCAGCAGTGGAAGTGTCTCCTCCTGCTGAGCTGCCATGCCCAGCTGTGACAGGAGATGATCTGAGGGAAAGGAGGAGAAGGGGGAGGGACTGGAAGGAGCGAACAGGGAGGAAACTACAGTCGGATTGTAATATATGAGAGAATAAAAGGTTAGAAAAAAAAGGAAAGATGGTATTTAGTACTCATAATTTGGGTATCAGATTATCTTTCAAGTTAGTAGAGGTGATAATTCCTCTGTAAATAAGTGCTTTAAATTTTTAAAATAATAAGGTACTTATACTAATAATAATTATAGCTGCCAGATTCTGTTTTTCATCTTTATACATATTCTATTAATTTTTCACAGCTTCACTATATATATCAAAAAGGAAACGGAAGCACAGAACACTTAAGTTACTTTCCAACGCCTGTGATAGTAAGAATTCAGACATTGCATTTTTAACTGCTGTGAGCTAGACAACTGCTTTGATTTTTTTCCATTATCAATCATTGCTCATTTGTGAAATGCCTTCGAGTTAGAGAGACTGTGCAGTCAGTAACCATAGACTCCCAATTCCATTGAAGCTGACTGCCCTTGTGTGCACTGAAGCCTGTGTAACAAACTGAAGTAAATGGTTTGTTCTGCAGAATAGCTGACATTTAAGGTGACTGGCACTTGATATTTTCACCTATATCTATGGGGTGGTTTACTTTAATGGGCACACCTGCTCTTATAGCTTCTGCTCTTGATAAACTTTCTTATGTGGAACCTTCCAAAATCAGACCTCTAGTTAAGTTTTGGGCATTAAATGGACCACACACTGTTCTTGCCCCTAAAAGCGTATCGTCTAGTGAGGGAGACACGTTTGCTAGTACCACGTAGAAGTAGCATGGGATATTGAAGTAAAAAGTGTCCTTTGTAGGCTGATGAGCAATTCAGAAGGCTGAAGCCATACAGAAAATAGTATGAAAGTTGGAAATCAAGTAACAGAGAATGCAGAGGTGAGAACGGTATTTCTGACAGAAGGAGCGGGATAAGCAAAGATGGGGAAAGGAAGATTGTTAGTCTTGGACTATAGCGATACCTCAGCAGTTATGAGAGTATACTGTTCTTCCAAAGGACCCAAGTGTGATTCCCAGCACCCACATCAAGTGGATCACAACCATCTGTCACTCCAGGGGAATCTGATGCCCCTGGCTTCCATGGGCACCCCCACACACATGGCATACACCCACCACACAGACATGATTAGAAATAGATCTTTAATGTACATGAGACTCATCTGGGAATTCTACTTAGGGCTGTTGTTTGAATTCTGTGTGTCTGTGTGGCTACACACTTTTGTTATGGTGATGTTAGTGTCCTTTGCTGTAGATCCTGCCTTACTTTTCTCTTGCTGTGCTAAAACACCAGAACCAAAACAACTTATAAAGTATTTAATTTGCGGGTCATGGTTCCAGGGTTAGACTCTATGACCGTCGTGGTGGGGATCCTGGCTGCAGGCTGGCAGACAGACATGGCTTGGGCATCCCACCGAGGTTTCACGTCAGGGTCCACAGTCACGGGCATAGAGGGCTAGCTGGGAATGCCATGGCGGTTTTTGAAACCTCAGAGCCCACCCCCAGTGACACACCTCTTTCAACAAGGCCACACCTCCTAAATCCTTCCAGTGGCTCCACCAATGTGGGACCAAGTATTCAGTTGTGAGCTTATGCAAGCCTTTCTCATTGAAGTCACCACAGACCCACAGATGGTCTGAGTTTCCAGGGTGGAAGTGACCCTCATTTGCTAAAGGAGGAAACTGAAATTCCAGAAGAGAATAATTTGCTGAAAGTCAGATCAAACTTAGGTCTGTTTTAACTCCTTCTATATTTCTCTCCACACCCTGCTGAGAGACCTTTCCTCAGCTCCGAAAATATTCACACTCGATCCGTCCAAGAGTAGAGATCTAGCTAAGGTGTTTGCGTAGCTAAGTGAGATGGTCACCTCTGTCTTGGAGATCTCAAAGGGACTGATGAAATGGCTTAGCAGCTAAAGGTTTTTGCTGCCCGGCCCAATGACCTGAGTTTCCTCCATGGAACCCACGTGGTGGAGGGAAAATCGCCTCCCAGAAGTCAGCCTCCCATTTGCAAACACACACATGCACATGTACAAATAAAACACGAAAACTTTAAAGTTATTTTTAGGATGCTAGATGAGTTGGAGATGAAATTGGGGGTCATGGGAAATGTAGGTTCAGTGAAGCTTGACACCCTGTTAAACCCAGGAAAGTGCAGACTGCCAGCTGGCATGGGTAACTGGGAGAGCAGAGGCTGATGCTAAGGCCGAAAATCCAGAAAGAGAAGTAAGTTTTTGTTGGGTCCGAGGAGGATATGATGCAATTCAGTTCTTGAAACTAATAAAATACGGTCCCCGTGTCCTAGACATTTCTAGGAGGGCTGAAGAAGTGTTCTTGAGCCCTTGTACGTTGTACTCAGTACATTGGGACCCTTGTGCACCACATGGCTGTGGAGTGGAGTTGTTTCTTGTAGAAACTTCACATTCTCTTTTAGCAACACTAACAATGTTAGAACATCATGGAAAGGTCTCTTAGTTTAGAGGTTCTGAGAAGAAATCTATAACAGTGAAATAACCCACAAGGCCACTACCCTATTTAAAATCAGGAAAGACTTCCTGAATTATTTTTTCATTTTGGACATGTTTGAAATTTTGAAAATGCATATTTAATATAGTAGTCATAAAATGTAGATCTTGTCTCACTTCTACCTTTTTGCTTTCCAGTGTTACCAATATATTAGGAATAATTATCCTTGTAATAAAAGATTGCAGTTTCAGCTTAGATAAAAGATGTAATCTGTAA